TTTGACCTCTTTTCCATTTTATGTATGATATCAGTTTTTATATCATTTTTAACTAGTCAGTACTCCCATGCTAAGGTGCCTGTGAGACAACCTGCCCCTACCTCCAGGCTTCTGCCAGCAGTTCAGATTCAGTTCATCCAAAAAAACAAACTCGTCATCTTCCCTAGAAAACCCAAGGGAATTACAAAAACAAAACAAAACCTGTTAGACAAAAAAGAAGTGTGGTGAATTGCTGGGTGCTAGGTAGTTATGAAAAAAATCCTGAAGATGTATCATTTTAAAAAGAGTCTCTTCCCAGTTGCTATAAAACCCACAAAATACTTGAATGCAGTGAATGATAACCTCTCAAAGCCCTCCATGGAATTAGGATAGCCATCCACCCATCATTTATGAAGCAGCCGCTGTGTTCCCAGCCCTAAGGACATGTTGCCATCCAGAAGAGCCCATCAGTCTGGGAAGCCAGAGGGATAGGGGAGAGGATAAAGTTAGCAGCTGCGTAACGTTCACTTTGGGCCTAGCTGGACCAGCTGACTATGGGGCACCACTTTCTTTGGAAAGAGCAGGCAGAGTCTGGTTCCCCCATTTAGTTCTCCTATCCATGCCTAGGGTATTAGTGGGAAGTCTGCATTGTGGCCTTAACCTGGGTGTGTGCATGGCCTTGTCAATGGCTCTGGGATAACAGATGGAGTTACTGTTCCAGCTCAGCCCAGGGAGACAGTCAATGAGAGTCATAGAGCCCACTGGATGAGTGTCTGCTCTCAGGAGGGACCCCCAGGTATCTGTCATGAGAGCACCTCTGCATCAGGCAGTGTGCTCAGGGACTTTTAGTGGGGACCTGGATTGAAAACCTGGTTTTTACTCCTCCAACATATACCTGTGGACCAGTTAAACACCCTTGAGAGCCTCAGTATGCTTTGTAAAGTAAAAGTGCTATGCAAATCCAGAGTGATGGTCTCATGAACCACATTGATCATGAGATGTGTCTTTAGGTGACTGTTGGAAGGATCCAAACAAAGTAATTTCATAAATGTAGCCCATCATGTGTACAAGTCATTTAGAGATGTTTCTTCTGCTGTAACCAATAGTGCTGGTGATCCATGTTCATGAAAACCAGAAGTTAGGGCTGGGATTTAGACAAATGACTTCATGTTAGTCACATGACTAATGGGGAGGCTGAGAGCCACTCTGCCTCCCTGTCTGGCCTCTGGTTTGTGTGGTCATCCCTGTAAGGATTTGTCTCCAGCCCTCGCACTTAGAACCAAACCACAGCAGAAGGCAAAGCTAGAGAGCTTAGCAACAAACACCAAGGAGACAGAGAAAACCACGTCTGGGAGTGGCCCCAACCTGGCTCAGTGCTCGGCCTCTGCTGGTCAGCTGTGATTCTGATGTTCCTTGAACAAGTGTAGTCTATTCCACTTACCTTCTGTTGTTTTCTCAGGAGTCCCTTTAAAAATTAAGTTCCTGTGAATAAGCTTGTTCATCTGAGAATGGATATTGAAATTATATCACAAGCATGGTGTATACAGACTTCCCCAAAACCCAATCATGCCCTCACAATGCAGAGATCCTGGGCTTAAAATACTGATAGCAAGTCAAACCTGGGTGTTTGCAGGTCCCTAAGTACCAGGAAGGGACTTGAAAGTGAGTCCTGAGAAGCGCTCTTCCTTACCAAAAGGAGAAAACTGAACTCTGTGTCATGGACCTTGGCTTTTTGGTTTTTATTTATTTATTTATTTATTTTGCAGTATGGGACTTGAACTCGGGGCCTACACCTTGAGCCACTCCACCAGCCCTTTTTTGTGAAGGGTTTTTTCAAGACAGGGTCTCACACACTATTTGCCCAGGCTGGTGGCTACTAACCACAATCCTCCTGATCCTGCCTCCTGAGTAGCTAGGACTACAGGTGTGACTCACTGGTGCCCAGTTACCTCACAGCAATAGATTGTAGAAATACCTCCTGCTGACTCAGGCCAGTGGACGACCCCACCTCAGTGCCCCCAGACTCCCAAAGGTGCCCTCAGGCTTCTCCTGCTAATCTGCCGGAGTTTGGAAACCCAGGGCTGCTCATCTGATTCTTTCATACTCTTGGAAGGTTGTAGTGCTGACTTCATTCTGCTAAGCTACCTTTAGAGCTATGGGCATTGGGGGTGAAATTTTGTGTACCTCCACCTTTCCCATTCTACAAAATGTCATTTTTCGTAGCCATGCCCCTTGTCTTGACTATTTTTTTTTTTTTTTGAGGTACTGGGGTTTGAACTCAGGCCCTCATGCTTGCTAGGCAGTCACTCTACCACTTGAGCCAGGCCTCTGTCCCTGCCTTGACTTCTGAATGGCTTTCCTAAGTACACCCAGTGTGTAAGTTCTAGTCACCCATTCATCACTGGTGGAGTTGTTGCACCAGCAGGGGGCTTCAAGGAGGGGCCACCAGAGAGGTGATTGTAACTAAATTAATGGAAGGTAACTGGGGGCCTCTCCACTGTATTCCTGGGCTGGGGATCTGAATGGCACCACCAAGGTGAGTTATCAAGAAGCCTGTGGAGCCTGGCACTGGGAACATTCTGAGATCGGACACTGCACAGGGCAGACTGCACTGACGTGGCAGAATGTGCACCCTCCCACCTAGGAGGGTGACAGGATAGCCATTCCCTTGCTACGCTGCTGCTTAGTGGAATCAGAAGTGTTGTCCACAGTGGTTTGCTCCTGAAGCCCAACTTCCTGCTAGGGAGGAGGAGGAGGCCTGAGTGGGGAACCTGTCCGGGATTCCACAGGCAGCAAGGTGGATGTGGGTGTGATTTTTGACTGGACTTCCTGAACACTGGGCTCACCCTCAGCAAAGTCCACGTTCTAGTGTTTTTGGTCCTTGACTTTATAGGGGTTCTGTTATCACCAGCAGGAATGTTTTGGAGAAGACTCAAGACACAGGCTAAGTGACTTTGCTGAAGACCCCATAGTGAATGGCGGAGGTGGTTGAACTCCAAGCCCTCCTCCCCCAACAATATGATTCCTGCCTGTGTGGTTTTCTGAAGCTGATAGCTAGCAGCTGGCTGGCCACCTTGTCTGGGAAAATGCTCCCAGTGCCTCAGGACAGGCAGAACAAAGCCACCCCAGTGCCCTGCTCAGGGAGATGGGTTCCATGTATCGAGCAGATTTAGAATCTGATTACCCACATAAGAATATCCAAACCGAAGTCTCAGCAGAAAACCATTTTATTATCAGCTGGCTACCATTGTCAAGTGTGAAGTTGTTACCAGTAGTAAAATTATCATTGTTCTCCATGATAAATTCCATAAACCCCACAGTAGTTTATGTAGCTTAAAACTATTTTCCCCAACTAATTAAATTTTATAGAATGGAGAATTGTAACACCAACCCTTGAAAAAGTGTTGTAGTGAGAAGCAACTAAAGCCGGCAGTTCATTTCCTCCAGTGGCTTCTGTGAGCGCAAGGTGCTGTCCATCTGAAACCTGTTGGATTTCTCCTCCAGCAACACCTAGGCCTTGGCTCAGCTTTCATTTTTTTATTTTTCTTCGCCCCTATCAGTCCCAGGCCAGGTTCTCCTGCCTCTCAGAACCCATCTTTCCCGCTGCCCACCCTCCCCATAGTCTGCTCCTTCGGAGCCCTCCCTAGAAACCAGTGTGTCTGGAGGCCGCGGGTGCACACAGGTGAGCCCTAACGTGTCACCAAGAGTCAGGCCAGGAGGCAAAAAATCGGAGAGTTGTAAAGCGGAAATGCGAATCTGTGGTCTCTCCAGGGAATCAGCTCAGGAGGTATTGCTGGTTCCCGCTTTGAGCGGAGAGGTGGCCTTTCTGAGAAGGCCCTGTGTAAACTAGCACCCAGGACGTGGTCTGGAGAAGGGCCTTGACAGAGCAGGAGGGGGTGCGGGAAGGTTTCAGGGCCTGGGCTTGGCTAGGACAGCTGACTTGGAAATCGTGTTTCCTTCCAGTTGCTTCTGCTCCCAGCCTGGCGAGGTCGGAACCATCTTCTTGCTTTAGATTTTTTTTTTGGGGGGGGGTTAGGCAGCACTGGTGTTTGAACTCGAAACCTCACGCTTGCTAGGCAGGCGCTCTTATCTCTTGAGCCACTCCACCAGCCCTGGACTTTTTTTTCTTTTAAATCACGAGGGTGCCCGCTCAGTGGATGCAGGAGGCGCGTGCTGGGAGTCGGGTCACTGTCCCCCGCGGCCTCCAGGTCCTCTCGGGCCCTCCCCGCGCGGCGCTGAAACCTGAACGGCGCAGACTCGAGGCTCCACAACACCGAGTCGGCCGAGCAGCAGTCACCCCGGCCCCCATGCTTGGTCTCGCTCCTCTGGCCGCAGCGGCAGGGCCAAGTGCGGGCCGTCTGCGCAGTTCTGCCGTCCCCGAGGTTGGCGCATCAGCTGTGTACCCTGGCCAGCGGGTGTGGCGTGGTGCAGGCGCAGGGACGCGTGTCCCAGGTTCCACTCGCTCCGCCCCCTCGCGGACCCCGCCCCCCTGGGCCCCTCCTCCAGCCCGCCCCTGCCCGGCGCGGATCCTCCCCCGAGCGCGCGCTCTCCCAGGCCAGGACTCGCCCTCCCGGCTGACTCAGCCCCGCCGGGCGTGCGTGTGGCCAGGGCGGGGCCGTGGGTGGGGCCGGCCAGGGTCTCTTCCCCACCCGCCTTTCCGGTGGGGGTCGGAGGCATTGGGTGGTGGTGATTGATGACCGCCCCGCTGGACCGCGAGGAGGGGCGCGCCCAGGGGCGGAGCTCGGGGGGACCGGACGTGGCCGCATGGATGGAGCGGAGGGGCTGGGTGAGGCCCGCGTGGGCGGGGCGTAGGAGACTCGACCCGTGTGAATGGGGCGCAAGAGGAAGGGCGGGGGAGCCCCGTGTGGGCGGAGCTCGGGGCGGGACCTGCATGGGCGGTGCCCGGGGGCGGGGGCGGCCCGGAGTGGGCGGAGCCCGCAGGGCGGGGCGGAGGCGGCCCGGGCTCCGCCCACTCTCGGGTGCCCTCCCCGCCCCCCGGGGCCCGCGGCCACCTGCGCCCCGCCCTGCCGGCAGCGCCCGAGCCCGGGAAGCATCGAGCTGCGCGCCTGGGCGGAGGACTTCGGCTTCGGAAGCTTCCCGGCCCTTCGGGGAGTTCCTCCGCTCGGTGGACCGTAGTTCTGGCTCTGGGCATGCAGCCGCACTGAGAGCCGCCGGCTGCTGACCGTTCTCGGGTTGAAGAGTTGGGTCTGCGCTCCGGCACCATGACCAGCCCTGCGGGCGCGCAGAACAAGGAAATAGACTGTCTGAGCCCAGAAGCCCAGAGACTGGTAAGAGGAAGACGCGTTTCCCAGACTTTTCACAGTGCCGGCGGTCCCCGTTGAGTTGGGTTCCCGATGGCTCTACGGTCAAGGGCAGTGGGCACCCTGACCGTGCCGTGGGGCCGGTGGCGGATGCGCGGGTTGGAGCGGGCTCCGCTGCGATCACTTGTTGGCTGAGCGTTCAGCGGACCGCGCCGCGCACTGGAAAGCACTTTTTATGGCCTGAAGCCCCTTCCAAGGACGAAAAGAAGTGTGCTCTCTCAACAAGGCTCGGCTCAGCTGGTTGGATCTGGCCTGAATCCAGCCGAGGACTGAGATCTGGGCGTGGTGTAGGGTTTCACTTGGGGCTGCGGGTTTGGTGTTCTGTAAAATACAGCCCCTCAGAGCTGGCGCCCTCAGTGGCTGGAGTGGCTTGGAGCACTTACCTGGCTGTTGACCCAAGGACACCAGATACCATATCCACTTTGGTCGGTTTCCCCCGGGTCTTCCGGGTCTGGACAGTATCTTACCTAAGTAGGATTTCTCCATTAGCCAGCTCAACATTCAGTGTGGGAGGACCACAGATCCCTTGGTACTTTAGCCTTATAATTGGGCATGTGGCAAGGTGGGGAAGGTTTACCCATTTCCACGCAGCTTGTGATTGTGAGGGTTTTGAGGGGTAACCTGAAACAGGGTCTGACTAGATAGCTCAAAACTCAAGCTCCTTCTGTCTCAACTTCCCTAGTACTGGAATTACAGGTATGCCCCACCACGCCTGACTCCTTGTGGTCGCTGGTGATGTGAATGGGAATAGTTAAAAGTAAAAGACTTTACTTTGGAAAAGAAATACTTTATGGGCTTAGTACTGCAGAGAGAGACCCTAGATTTCTACTTTATCAAGTTTTTGTGAGACCTTGACAAAAGTGTGAGCCCAAAACAGTCACTTCTTCACCAGGCAGAAATTAGTCATCTACTGGGTGTGTGTGGAGGAGTCAAGATGAGTATGACTGCTCAGCCCTGGGGAAACTAACTAGGAAATGCCACAGAGGTATAGAAAGAGACCCAGATGACTGCAGGCTTGAAAGTGAAGTCTCTTGCTGAGGACTGTCAGGTGTTTAAGATTTTTTTTTTCAGTGTCCATTTTAATATGCTTTCTCTGTGACCTCCTGCATTAAGCCAGACTTTAGCACTGGTTCCTCCCTTTAACCTAATTGGTTTCTAGGGCTGGGGGAGCCTTGCAGTGAGACCGTGGGATCCTCATCAGAGAAAAGTCTTGGAAGGTGGAATGCTGGAACTCTGCTGAGATGCTGGTGCTCAGAGCCACAGCCCAGGCGCACCATAGAAGGCAAGAGTGGGGAGGAAGTTAACCCTGGGCAGATTGTAGCACCCAAGAACTAACTGCTTGAGTCCCTGGCGAAGGGGAGAGTAAACATTGAGAACAGGGTCTGAAGAGGAAGGCAAGGCAGGCTCCTGAGGGGACAATGGAGAGCTCCAAGACACTGGCTGAGTTCCTACTGTATGACGCTGGGAGCCTCCTGGTGAGACCCGGTTAGGATATTGCCTGGAGGTCAGAGGAGAGCCTGGAATTGGGTCTCATTTTGGGTAGTAGTTCAGCTGAGGCCCACTGTCCTTCACCCACAAGACCAGAATCCAAAAAGCTCTGAAAACCAAAAGGGGAGTGTGTGTGTGTGTGTGTGTGTGTGTGTGTGTGTGTGTGTGTGTGTAATTTATGGCAGAAGTCATTTTGCAGAGAGTCCTGTCCTGACCCATGGGAGGCTATTTTCAGTCTTTCTTTATCCCTTTTAATGTGAATATTCATATGTTTGTCTGCAGACTGGGTCATGTATTTGATTAAGGGTTGCTGTTTGTGCTGTCAAGTCTATATGAAGTATGCATCCTCTTACATCCTCCCACCCCTTTCTTAAATCCAAAAATGCTGAGTTCTGGAACATACTTGGTGCTAGGGTTTCCATTAGGAAATTTTGACCCTATAGGAGTTTTTCTTTTTTTTTTTTTTTTTTGTAGTAGCAAAAACTGTATTAAAGAGGAGCATGGAGAACAGAAATAAAATGTAGTCTCTGTTGATGAGGTTAATGGTCTGATTGGGAAGGAAGTTGGGGGTGGAGGAATGGACCTTGTGCCAGGAAGGGAGTCACTCAGCTGCCCTGGGCCATAGTTTGGAGGATAAAGCTGGAGACAAGTAGTGGGGCGAGCATTTCAGACTGGCTTGTACCATTTGTGTTCTGTATTGATTGTCTCTGGCTCCCAGGACTGTCTCCTATGGGGAGGAGGATCTGGGGCTGCATAGTCCACGTGAGCACGACCTTAGGAGGAGGCAAATGTAGTGAGCACCACCTCACCTAGCAAAGGATAAAAGTAGGATCAGAGCTAGGCATGGTGGTACACTCCTGTAATCCCAGCACTGGGGAGGTGAGATAGGAGGATCAAGAGTTCAAAGTCAGATGGAGCTATGTAGTGAGATGCTATCTCAAAAAAATAAAAAATGTCGGAATGACTCAAAGTGGTAGTGTGTCTGCCTCATCAGTATAAAACCTGAGCTCAAGCCCCAGTACCATGAAAACATTTTTAAAAATTTTAATTAAAAAGGCTGGGGATGTAATTTGGTGGTAGAGGGTAGGGCATTTGCCTAACATGAACAAAGCCCTGGTTCCATTCCCAGAAACACACACACACACACACACACACACACACACACACACACGAGACAGACAGTACTGCAGCAGGTGTGTGGGCTGCTTATGAAAGTCCTCACCAGCTCTGGCTGGCTCTGGAGAGGATGAGGTGCCACAGTGAGGGAAGTGTGCATTTCTTTGCACTGTGTGTGTCACCTCTGGCCTTTTTCCCTACACCAATGAGCACTCAGCCCTGTAGGGGGGAGAGGCGCTGGGTAGAAGGTGGGCACACAGTCCCTCCAGTCCCTCCACTGTAGGTGCCTGTGCCTAAACCCCAGGTCTTGGAGTGTCGCCAGTGCAGGGTCCGACACCAGTGAAAGTGGCTGGCTTGTTGTAGCTCGGGCTGAGTGGCAAGCCCTGGAATCCTGTGATTTGTTTTAAATATGTTATTTCCCGAGCAATTAAGATAATGGAAATAGTGAGTTAGGTCTTGTCTAGTAGGTGAAGTGTCCTACTGAGGCAAAGATGGAGGCCAAATTTCCCTTTTTCTTTTAAGAGTTTCTGTTCAGCCTGAACCAACATCACATAGCGGAAGCCTCCTAAGCAAATTGCAAAAAACCTTCAGTCTCAACTGCCGCTTACCCGAAGCACAGGAAATTGGGTTATTTATAGTTGCAAAAGTGTTTGCAGTGCAGCTGATTGGAGTGCTACCTGATGAGAGTGAACTTTTTAGCCAGTCCCAGCAGAACTGCCAGACTACGCGTTGGTGCAGTGCCTTTGCTCCTCAAAAGGCAATGTTCAAGAGGAATTTCCTATCCCTGAAAAATCGGCCATGTGACTCAGCACAAGAATTGTTTATGACTGGTTGCTCACATGCCAGTGTCTCCAAAATATCGGCTCACATCTAAAACGTTAGCCTTGGAGCCCAGAGGCCGTACCGTGTAGATTACGACCCTCTGTTGCCAGCCAAGAAGCCTGGCATACTGTATGTTAGACCTGGGGTGAGGACAAGAGGAATTTTTATTACCTTATTGTTTTTAACTGGAGACCTCTTAAATTTTAGCGTATTTTTTTTAAATGAAGAAACTCATTTTCATAAAATGGATTTACTTAATTAGAACTTTCATTATTCTAAATATCTAGATAAAATTAAATGAATTAGCTTCTTTCTCCTGAATTAAACAATACATAGCCAGATAGGGTCTGGCTATGTAGCCCAAACTGGCTTCAAACTCACGATCTCCTCCCTCAGCCTCGAGTGCTGGGATTGCAGGTGTGTACCACCACACTTCTCATTATTTTGAATCCATCCAAAATGGAATAATCCAAAATTGCTATGTGATTGCAGATCTCTATTAAGGCCCTGTCCCTCAGGCCGAATTCCAGAACAATAAACCAAAAGAAAGAAAGAAAGGAAGGGAGAGAGGGAGGAAGGAAGGAAGGTTGGTTAAAATGAAAGGACAACAAAGACACCAAGCAATGCAAATATATGTCATTCATTTTGGGGAGGGTGGGTGTTCCTGTGTTTCCAGGTTTCTCCTTGATCTTGTAACTTGATAGCTTTAAAACCTCCTTAGTTTTTCCTTATATCTAAAATACTACTTTGTAACAGAGAAGTAATTTGCCTTAAGTAACTACAAGGAGGATTTACTTTTAACTTGAACCAAAATGTTTCCTTTATATGTTTGTAAAATGGAGATTTTTAAAGCCACATTGTTTCTGATCCTGGTGTCTTTTTTGTTATCTGTGGCAAGGGGAAGTGTAGTTTTCCTGGAGGAAGAGGAGTGAGGAGGGGGCTTCATGATCAGACTGGGAAATCCACCTCCTTCATTTTCTAGGCGGCCCCGCAGGTGGGCGTCTCCCATCTATCTCAGCACTGCGACTCTGCTTGACTTTGCTTGAGCTTCTGAACTTCTCAGCTGAGATTGCATGGCATTTATGCTGCTGGATCAGTAGCTGGCATAGGAGGTGCTGCTCGAGTAGTAAGGTAGCTAAATTTACCAGCCCTCTGCTGAGCAGCCTAGAACAGATCTGTGTAGAAGTTCTTCCTGAGCCATAACCCTTTGGAAGATACAGGTTTCTCAGCTCCCTTTTACAGATAAGGAGGAAGCTGAGACTCAGAAAGTTGGTGGGAGGTGGTGGAGCCAGCTCAGACCCATGACTGCTGGGGTGAAACTGGTGCCGACAAGGGCCACCTCTGTATACGGGTGGTAAATGTGCAACAAGCTACCCCCGCCGTCATCCCTGTTGTCACCACTGCCCTCAGCTTCTCTTTGCTTCTTTGCCTTGTAGGACACAAGTCCTCGGACAGACAAGGAAAGATAAGTAGGCACAGTGCAGAGATGCCCACCCTGTAGGGCCACCAGGAAAGTGAAGGATGAGGGGGTGGATCAAGAG